CAATGAACACAGACTGTGACCGTGTTGCTTATTTTAGGTAACAAAATTAATAAGGTCTTCTTATATTCTTGATCCATGTTCCACCAAAGGACATGTTTGCCAGGGGCTGTTGACCTGCTACTAAAAAGAATAAATTGTTGCCTACTAAGCAGCTGTAATTTCATGTCATGTCTCTGGGCTTCTTACAGGCCTTAGTGGGATCTTCTGCTCAGAATTGACACGTTTCAATGAATTAATTTGTATTAAATTGATATTATGTGTGTATTTAAATATATATGAGAAATTAGGTTTATTAAAATACACTTTTGCAAATGATCAAAAACTATCTGCAGTATTATACCTTTAAAAGTCTTCTTTGGATATGTATTCTTAAGTGTGTTGAACTTGTCTTTATGAATGATGCTTTATCTTATGTTTGAGAATGGTATGCTCAGGTAGCCGGTACAGCAATAGGCCATCTAATAGTCCCTGCTTTATTCAAATCTATTTTTTTAAGATGGGAAGAATCAGCCAGGTATAGTCTGGTAAATGTTTTTTTTTCTTCAAATGTCTATGGAAGTACTTTGAGAATATCTTAGTAATGCGATCTGGATCTGAATATTTTTTTGTAGAGCATAGACATCAATTATAACATTATCAATACACCTTTTATATCTCCTTATGGGTATGATGGATTAAAGCTTTTAGATCTAAAAATAACTGTATAGTACTAATGCCAGTTAACTTTATTCTGCATTTCAGTTGTCATCCTCAATATTTGAAAAGTCCATGGATAGTTTTTAAGAATAAAAACATAACATTGTTATTGAAGATTCGGTTTTTCAAAGGTAACCGCTATAGAAATGTCTATGGTTTGTAGGATATAAAAACTAGGTTCTTGGATTTGCATATAAATGTACACCGGCATGTCCGGTGGTGGAGCTATTGTGATAAAGAAAAAGAGAAGATATGTCAAAAATATGGGTTTACCTTTACTTCTGAATACTCTCCTATGGTAGATGCAGTAAAAAAAGGCCATTTATTATAATCGGATGTTACTGGTATCAATCCTAAATTAGGGTTAAACTAAACAAACAATGCATCTTTTAGAAAACTAGGCTAGTGTGAGGGTTACATGGAGGTCTGTTGTGTATTTAGGTTTTGTGCTGCCCTAGGCAAGACTACACTCGGGCACCCCCGATCTAAATTTGCCCCTTCCTGTTTAAGACATTTTGCATAACCTGTCAGTCCCTGGATACAGCATGCACGCAGGTTGCGTTAGTAGCATAACAGGAAAGCCAGGGTCCCAGGTGGGCTGTAAAGGATCTCTAGCTGAGACCCTGCAGAGCCCACCATAGACTCGCAAAACTCACCTGAGACCCCGCAGAGCCCACCTGAGACCCAGCAGAGCCCACCTGAGACTCTGCAGAGCCCACCATAGATTTTGCAGACTCACCACAGATACTGCACAGCCCACCATAGATCCTGCTCAGCCCACCTGAGACCTAGCAGAGCCCACCTGAGGCCCATCAGAGCCCAGCACAGACCTCACCACAGATCCTGCAGAGCACACCACAGACCCCACCATGGATCCTGCAGGGCCCACCTGAGACTCTGCAGAGCCCACCTTAGGTCCTGCACAGCCAACCTGAGACTCTACATACCCCACCACAGCCCACCATAGACACTGCACAGCCCACCTCAGACCTTGCAGAGCCCACTTGTGACTCTCAGATGGACTATGCGGTCCCTTTCCCTGCACACAGGTGCTACTCCTCTTACCTGAAGACCTCAGACCTTGCAGAGCCCACTTGAGACTCTCAGGTGGGCTATGCGGGATCTATGGTGGGCTGTGCAAGGTCCCTTTCCCTGCACACAGGTGCTACTCTTCTTACCTGAAGCTCCCCAGCTTGCCTCCGGAGCATCCTCTCATCAGAGGGTGGGGTATGGGCAGCCCTAACCTGCCCAAAGCTTCTTCCCACAGCACCTCCGCCGGCTGGGCCCCATGCCACCCGGCAGCTCTCTCAGGTAAATTAGGCGGCTGCGAGACCCAACGGGCGGTTGCCTATTTGCCTTATTAGGCAGCCGAGCCTGGCTAATACTGTGCCTGGCTTGCTGCACTGATTAGGTGCAGCAGCGTTTTTTGCCGCCCCCCTGGAAAGTGCCACCCAAGGCAAATGCCTTGTTTGCCTTGCAGTGGATATGCCCCTGATAGAGGTTAGTGAGAGGATTACAGGGATGGTTAGTGTGAGGGTTACAGGGATGTTTAGTGTGAGGGTCATAGACAGGGATAGTGTGGGGGTTACAACAAGGGGTATTGTGAGGGTTACAGGGAGGGTTAGCGTGAGGGTTACAGGGAGGGATAGTGTGAGGGTCACAGGGAGGGTTAGTGTGAAAGTTACAGTGAGGAATAGTGTTCAGATTAAGGGAGAATTGGTGTTAGGGTTGCAGGGAGGGATATTAGGAGGGTCATAGAGAGGGATAGTGTGAGGGTCACAGGGAGGGTTAGTGTGAGGGTCGTGGACAGGGAAAGTAAAGGTTACCGGGAGGGTTAATGTTAGGGTTACCAGGAGGGATAGTGAGAGGGTTACAGGGAGGGTTAGTGTGTGGTGATCTCTTCCCCAAAAACTGATAGCATCAAACCCCCAGCCCTAAATGTATCATATGCCAATGCCTGATTAGAGGTGATGTAGATTTACAAAGTGAAACATTTCATTACATGTGAAATGCAATGGGTCCAATTCACGAAAATGAAAAGTCCACAAGTTTGTATATGATTAAAAAAAACCGCTTAACCTTGCACTTGGTTTAGGAAAGTATAGTTTGGGTCAAATATTTTCCCATGCAAACTGGACTGTGTGTGCACACATTTTCATCTGCTCACATACCAGAAAGCAGGTGAAAATAAGTAATAACTAAAAGGACAGTGTCCCTAGAGGGTGATTACTGGTCTTTGATGCAGCTAGATAAGACAGTTCTCAGCAATAGTAAGCAGAGGTATCCTTCATTACTTAACAAATAAAGCAAAATAATATCAAAAATAAATAAAAGTCAGGTTCTAAAGGGTGCTTGTGATAGTAGCAAGATATGAAGTTTGGTCTTAAAGTGTACCTAATGCGAAACATTTGACTAGAACCAAACTTTTGTATATCAAACATTTTGGATGGAGTGGCCAAGGGTTAGAACCTGTCAACTCCTTATTATTGTATGAGGCCCCACTAGAGGATTAACCCTGTTTCTCCTGGTTACCAAGAGAAAACCTACAATTTTTAGCTATCACAGAGCTGAGGGGAAATCCCCTAAGGGGGCACTTGTTCAGGTAACAACTGTCTAAAGGGGCATTTTCCTTCTTCTTCTAACTTCCAGTTGTATCTTAAGACAGGAAGAGAAAAGTAAATCTCCCCAACGGTTCACAGACGAATAAATACATAGCAGGGGTGTTAAAGCTAAACTTCTGAATAATTCTGCATTTATTTTTATTTAATTCTATTATAAACAAAACACCTGAGAATTTATGTTTTAAGAAAACATTAGTCACAAAACACTTTTATATTTATCTCCTTTACTAATATTAATAAAATATTTATAGGGTTTTATTTGTTCACTTTGGGAAAGAACAGAAACAATTTCTATGGAGTCTATTGAACATATATATTATTTTGGCTGTGTATAGAAAGCTGTAATCCTATATGTTTAAAAATTACAATTAAGGCTTCACAATGGTATTCGTTGTTTAAGTTTAAGACAGACAAGCTAAGACACTATTAAGTACTCCAAAGTTTATAAAGAATATGTGTTATAAATGCTATAAATTTCTTATATGTATGCCTTATAAATTATTGATTAGGGCATACATATAAGAAAGAACATTACATATGTATAATTATATTGGTATATGTAACAATATTTGATTTAAATGCTAGATATAAGAATGCATCAACTTCTAGGTTATATACTAAAGGGCAATTTCTTCCTCACCCTCCTTTCTGCTAAGCAATCCAAGAGAACCGTGGTAAACATTAGGGGTTGTATATCTTGTAGATTCTAAGCCACACACACACACTTCTGGACCGACACACACATGAATATAAACTATAAGAACTCTAACAAGAACATAAATATAAACACTTTGCATCTTCTCATCCTTAAAAGGTATCTAAATTTATGAAGTGTCCAGGGTGTCTACGTTTATGAAGTACCAAAAAAGCATATTTAACACACGGTTTAACTAAAAAATGTTTATTAACAATGTAAAATGTGGGGTATTTTACAATCAGAGCTAAGTTTGGCATGCCCTATCAGTTATAACACTATGTGCAGACACCATGCTTCAACGTTCTATAGTAACAATATATGATAAGTTGTCTTACTGGGGTATGAGGATATATTGGAGGAAGCAAGGAGGGGATTGAATACACTACCTTCATATATATGTGTAACATTTTCAGAATTGTGAAAATCACACCATTTGAATGGGAAGAAAATACTGATGATCGTCATCAAGCTTACAGTAATATTTACAAGCCAGATACCTAGTTTTCATCCTCGAGTTAACAGGTTAGAAACTTGGCTGAGGTCTTAGACAAAATCCTAGTGCATCGTGGAAGACTAATCATGATTAAGACAAAAAAATACAAACCAAAGTACAGTTATTGGCCTTTGTTAACATCAATAATAATAATTCCTGTCACCATCTTCATACTGAACCTTCGTTTTGATGTGATTCTGATGTAATGGTTTCCCAAGAACACAATACTTGGATATCAAAGCAGTTTGCATATTTTATGCTTGAGAACTTTTAAGTGTTCATAAAGTCTGTTTGGAAAGTTCCAGCCAATCACTGACAGTTTTTGGACCAGTTCATAGGTCAATGGTAATGTCATTTGTCTTCAGGACCATAGCAGAAGTTCTAAAAAGGCAGTTTAGGCAACACTGAATACATAATGGATCAACCAACCTCAATACGATATATGACAGCAAAGGTCAAACTATAACGTATCTGTGGAAAAAATGGCTTTTCTTTATTATTTTTTAACTGGAGATTAGGCAACACAATCCAAAGAATCTTTTCTTTCTTCTTCTGACTAGTGGATATGGTGTTAAGTTGAGGAGGCTACTGTCGTCTGCAATCAAACATAAATAAATGTATTAATCATTACAGTAAATACACTAGTTGATGTTAGATTGGAATTCCAAAAAGAAAAACATTTTTGTAAAGCAATGACTCCATGTTCAAAGAGAAAAAAAACCTCCCCCTTTTCAGTTCCATACATTGGAAGGATTCTAGCAAACATCACTGCATCATCATGTTCCACCTGCTTTCGTTTGCATTTAAACTCATGGATTGGTTCCACTTACTCCCTTGTTCCTGCAGTCAATTCCTGCTCCATACTTGACAAGTCTTCCGGATTCTGCAAGACAATCCCAAGATTTTGGACACTGTCCTGATGTGTCTGTGTCTCACGTGACACTGCAGAGTGACAGCTGGGTGCTGAAACACTATCTGTTTTCCAGCACATGGCACCGTAATTATGATGGGCTTTCAGGCAGGAAATCACTCAAGAGTAAAATTATGGTTCCAACTTTAACAAAGAGACAACAGACCCACTGACACCAACGATATAAGGCTTAATTCTCTCCCACTGAAGCCAACAATATGTGGCTTATTTTATCCACCCAATGATGGGCTTATTTTCCTCCCACTGACATTACTAATGAGGATTCATCCCACTAACGCCAAACATGAAACTTATTTTATCCCTTTGACACAAAGGATTACGCTTATTTTATCCTACTGACACCAATGATGGGGCTTATTTTTATTCCCACTGACGCTAATGACAGGGTTTAATCTTACTCCCACCGACATCAATGGTGGGACCTTCTTTATTCGTAACAGCAATTATGGGACTTTTTACTTCCACTTTTAGGCTATGTTCACATTATGTCTGGAGCAGATCTGCAAATGCAGTGCATTTTTGCAGGGTTTTTACTGCGATTTTGCTGCATTTCGGTGCTTGCATGAGTTTTTGATTGTTGGAGTGTTTCCATGCATTCAAGTGCATTCTAGACCAGAGAAAATTGCCCTTAGTGGCAGTAAGTCTGTGTGGCTCCCAGACCCTATTTTGTCAAAAACATGGCACAGCATAGGGGAAAGATACAACACTATAAGCCACACCCATGTTATTGGCCATGCCCCCCCATGTGTCAGGCAGGTTGTGTGCCACATAGAAACCTTTTAAGGTGTCTCTTCTATATATTTTCAATGTTGGCAACTATGTCAGTCAGTCCCAATGTTGTAGCAAGAGCAGGAAACAGTGGCAGACCCAAGGGGATGCTTAGATTCTTTAAGAACCCCATTAGCACCTCGATCCATAGCCCTGCTGCCTTTACAAAAAAAAAAATACAAACACCATGCTTTTGCCCTGCTAGATGGAGTAATCTCTTGCCTCACAGATAACTGGACAATTGTATTCATACTTACAAACAATTTTCCTTTCCTGTCTAGCTCCATGTCAGCACACTAATGGGTTAATCCCCTCTCTCCTCCCACCTAACAGGATCTTAACTCATAAAACTGACTATGCAGTCCCAGCCCATTGTTCCATAACTCATCGCACTGCATGGGCGGGAATTGTGCTGACATGGAGCTAGACAGGAAAGGAAAATTGCTGGTAAGTATGAACACAATTTTCCAGTTTTCCTGTCAGCTCCATGTCAGCACACTAATGGGAAATAACTTGCTACACACACGGGGGGGAAATGCCAGTCAATTTTAATCAATTAGAGCTTGCCGCAGCAGAAATCACAGTGCGGCCAAATTCAACAGTAGTTAGTACAGCCGGGTCAATGCAATAATGGGACATGAAAGTTTGAATGGACGACCACGTGTCGGCTTTACATATCGTCTCCAAGGAAACCCGACATGCCACAGCCCAAGACGTGGACACACTCCTGGTTGTATGTGCAGAGACCCCCTCTGGTATAGGCAAATCTTTGGCCTTGTAGGCTGAGGTAATAGCCTGGACGACCCATGATGCGATGAGTCTACAAGAGGCCTTGGAGCCTTTCCTGACACCCGATGGGATGACAAAGAGATGATCCGTTGTTCTTATATCGGCTGTAGATGCAATATACGCATTTAGCGCAGTTGCCACATCCAAACGGTGTATGTGTTCGCCATCCGCAGAGTGGAAGATAGGCAAAACTATTTCTTGCCTCATGTGGAAGTTCGAAGCGACTTTTGGGACAAATCCCAACATAGGGACCATGACAACCCTGTCGGCTAAAAACGTAGTGAAGGGTTCCTTAACACTTAATGCCGCAAACTCCGAAACCCTCCTGTCGGATGTAATAGCTATCAGAAAAACCACCTTCAGGCTGATACGCCAGAGGGAGATCTGACCTTGAAAGGTGTCAGAGGCTAGAAAGTCCAGCCCCAATGGTAAATCCCATTTAGGAAATACAGGTTGTCTAGGCGGTCTAACTCTAATGACAGCCTTGAAGAACTGATTAATCAGAGCATCAGAGGCCAGCTTGAGTCCCGTAAATGCTGAAATTGCAGATACAGGTCCTTTGAGCGTACTGATACTGAGGCCCATGTCCAGCCCTGCATGTAGGAATTCCAACACATGAGAGATATGAGGAATTGCAGCATCAAAAGCCCGAGCAGACACAAACTCCTGGAACTTCCTCCAAACTCTATTGTACGTGCAGTTCGTACTGCGTTTCCTGGAGCACAAAAGCGTATCAACCACCTTGGCCGAACAGCCCAGACTCAACAGCCTCCACCTCTCAAGATCCAGGCCGTCAGACAAAGCTTGGATGGGGCCGGATGAAGGATGGGTCCCTGAGACAGAAGATTCTGCAAAACTGGCAACGGAAACGGAGGCTGTGTGTTCAGTTGGCGAAGCAGAGGATACCACGGCCGCCTGGGCCAGTCTGGTATGACCGCCAGTATCGTCACTGCCTCCCTCTGGAGCCTCTTCAGAAAACCGAGAACGAGTGGAACCGGGGGAAAGGCATACGCTGTTTGAAACGTCCATCCCGCGGTCAAGGCATCCGTGGCCATTGCCAGAGGGCATAGAAGTCTCGAGTAGAATTTCTTCAATTTGCAATTGACTGGGGAGGCAAAGAGATCCACGTCGTCAATTGCTGGAAGACTCGAGGGAGCAGGGACCATTCGTTGTTGTCTAGCTGGACCCTGGAAAGATAATCCGCCCGATGATTGAGAACCAGGAACATACAGGGCTGACAGGTGGAGAAGATGGGCCGCAGCCCACTCCAAAATCGGAGTCACTTCCGTCAGTAACGACAGACTGCGGATATAGGCCACCGCCGTGGTGTTGTATATTTTCAGTAGAACAGGCTTGCCGTGAACAAGTCCGCTGAAGGCCAGTAGTGCTTGCCAAACCGCCCTTAATTCCAAAATGTTGGAAACTATTCCCTTCGCAGGAAACGTCCATTGGCCTTGGGCTACCTGACCTGCACAACTGGCTCCCCAGCCTGACTCGCTGGCATCCGTGGACATTATCAACCATTCGGTCGGATCCAGTGACTGGCAATTGAGCAGATTCTGTTCCTGCAGCCACCAGGCAACACCCTCCTTCATCTGGGCTGTGACCCAAATAAACTAAGAGAGGTCCTCCGATTTCCACTGCATCAAAAAACCTATTTGAAAGGGGCGGGACCTCCACTGAGCCCATTTGACCATAGGTATTGTGGACACCATGGTGCCCACTACCTGCAGGCATTGAGTGGCCGAGAGAAGATCCGATGACAAGACCGGAGCCAGCCGACCGAGGACGATTGGAATCTTCTCCGGAGGAAGGGACACTGTACTCCGAACAGTATCTATCCTGGTGCCCAGATAAACCAGGTCCAGTGTTGGAACAAGATGGCTTTTTTCCCAATTGATCAACCATCCGAACTCCAACAGAGTAGAAATCACTAGAGAGAGGTGCGTCAGTAGTAGCTCCCGGTCCTGGTGCAAAGGGAGAATGTCGTCTAGGTAATGGTAGATGCGTACCCCTTTCTCCCGCAGTAAGGCGACTACGGCCAGAAGAACTTTGGAAAAAGCTCATGAAGAGGTTGTTAGCCCAAAGGGGAAGACAGACAAACTGATAATGAAGGTGGCCTAGAGCAAAACGAAGAAATCTTTGAAAAGAATGCTGGACTGGGATGTGGAAATAAGTGTCCCGTAAATCTATGGAGAGCATCCAATCCGTCTGTTGGACAATCTTCAGAATAGTTTGCAGCAATTCCATCTTGAAGTGCTCTTTCCTGATATAGCAATTGAGGCACTTCAAATTGATCACCGGTCTCCAGTCTCCCGTCCTTTTTTGCACTAGAAAAAGAGGAGAATAAACGCCCGAAAAGCGTTCCTGAAAGGGCACCGCCACTACTGCCCCTTGGGCAACGAGGTTGTTCACATACAAGAAAAGGGACTTCCTTCTGTGCTGGGCATAAATGGATTTTTGTTGGAAGAAAAAAGGGATGGGGGGGGGGTTTTGTAAAAGCCTCAGTGGAGGCCCATTGCAACTGTATTCAGCACCCAACGATCCGTGATGTTGTCCGCCCAAACCTGCCGACAGCTGGCCAATCTCGCACAGACCTGGCAGGCCTGAACGGACAACCCATCAAAAGGACTTTTGAGGCCCCTGACTCGCAACCGCGCCTCTCTTCTTAGAATTTGCAAAAGACGCATTGGGCTTCCATGGTCTGCGAAATTCTCTGCCCGGCCTATAAGAACGAGCATCCTTTCCTCTGTCCAAGGCCGCTTTCCTGGAAAAGGCATTTCTCTGTCTCAGCAGTCCCCTGTTCTGCCGAATAAATCCAGACTTTCCACCCGTAGCCTTAGCAATAGCAGCATCCAACTTATTTCCAAACAGGGACTGGCCCTCGAAAGGGATTTTACACCAACCCTGTTTGGAAGTCGGGCCCGCCAGCCAAGGTCTGAGCCGGAGGGCTCTCCTTCCCGTAACAGCAGATAACATAATTCTAGCCAAGGATTTAACCATATCTAAGGAAGCTTCTGCGAAGAAGACAGAAGAGAGCTTGATGTGCTTCAGCAGATCCAGGATCTCGGCTTTACCGACATCATTCGACACTGCTGTTTCTGCGC